TATTTTTAATGCTTTTTAAATATATTAAATATATTTTTTATAAAAATTTATAGAGTATTATTCGGGGAATTATAAATTAAATATTGCGACAATAGTTTGATTGATTTTGTAAATAATATTTATTAGATAATGTGTGTGCTTACGAGTATTAGGTAACATAATGTACTCTAGGGTCCTTCATAGAAGGCGTACAAATCATTGTTCCAGCAATGTCTTCTAGATATAACGTAGATAAAATTGTCGCCGTTGCGATCGTCTTCGTTCTTACGAAATTCGCTTTGTTACACAAAGTAACAATTTTTTTTTTTTTTTTTAATGATTGGCATCTAAAATCGAATCTCTTTTCTTCGTCAAGGTGTCACAGATCACTTTTCGCATTTATCGGCTAAAGTTTGCAAGATTATCTATTTGTTCTAATAACTTGATCTGTATGCCGTAAAATGGCGTAATAATTCGTGTTATTTGCAAGCTTCACTCTTTCGCGCGCGCGAAATGTTTTTTTAAGTATATTTCTTTAAACGCTTATCTTTTTTTACTCGTAACGATCTTCTTTACTTGTATATGTATATATTGCTAAAAATTCAACAATCATCTATTAGTGATAAGGAATCGAGTAGAAATGTTGCTGATCATTGCTAAAATGCTTTATAGTACTTGTTGTGAAATTGAATTTCATAGCAGAGTAAGAGTGTCTAATTAATGTAATGCAAGCCGCTTAATTGCAGGAGGCGAATTATGCTATATGCTTCGACAGGTCAATGCGCAAGATTAAGAGAAAATTCTTTTTGCAAACTGCCGTCGCGATAAGGGTCTGACTTTATCATCCGCGGACACGAGATCGTGGATTAATTGATACGATTCGATTTTATTGCCGCAATTCACGAGATCATTTCTAACATCAAACCAACCGAAATGTCTAAAATTAGTTTATACACGATCTAAATTTACTTTTCTCACTCTCTAACTAAAACTGCTCTCAAGTAAATGTATCACTTATAAATATTTCCCTAAGTTTGTCAGAGCCGGCGAGCGTGCGCTCGAAAAACGCGGCTCGACCTTTTTTAAAAAATTCTCAATTAGTTTATTCCTATTCTCTTTGCATTCTCGCGCGAGTTGTTTCTCATTTATGCATTCACACTTTTTTCTTGCTCTCTTTTGTTATATAGGATGCACCAGAACTACTGCCACTCTTTTTTTGTAAGAATTTTTTGATCAATTTATATCCCACTTTTTTTAAATCAAAATATCAAGGCATCAATAATTGTTGATAGAGTTATATAAGCGGTAAAAAAAATGAGAAGCTTTTTTGTTAATACTTAATATAAAATCTTATTTTTTTACTTTATTTTGAGATTTATTATTTTAATTATTATATTACTTCAACAATCTTAATCTATATATATAAGAGATTTACTTATATCAAAATATCTAATATTCTCTACAGTATTTAATATTAAAAAGTTATAAAAAAGAGAGAATACGGGCTCAAAAATAATCAAAAAATTGTAAATAAAAAGAACGGCAATAGTTTTTTACTTGGACATCCTATGTATATATAGTATATATTTATCTGTTCTCATATAGATAATAGCAAGTGAGTTAGTCTCATGCACGTTTTACGTCCGCAAGTACATCGATGTCTAATCTGTATAGATATTAATGTAATTACGCACATATCAGTATATATTTATAATTATTTCATAGGATGCCATGTACATGTGTGTTTATGTTTCTCTTTTTCTCACTTTCTCCTTTTTTCTCTTTTTCTTTCTCTGTTGCTTTCTTTCTATCTTTATCTTTCTCTTTTCCTCTCTTTGATTGTGTGTAGATGTGTATATTCGCGTATATATATGCTATGTTTCTTAGGTAATAGGTATCAATAGTGTCTCTTGTTTATAGCGTTAAGAATTAATTTATTAAAACTTTCTCTATCATCTTCATTTTCATAGTCTCTTTAATTATTTCTGGCCATGCATTAATTCTTGCAATGTATTTTTATCGCACGGATCTCACAAATCTTTTTTGCTTTCGCTTATTCTCTTTCGTTCTCTCGCTTTTTCTCTTTCTTTCTCTCTTTTTTTCTCACTCTCTCTCTCTCTCTCTCTCTCTCTCTCTCGCTCCGTCATATAGTTAAATTTTTCTAAAAACTTTTACACGCTGTATATAGTCACATCGAACAGCTCGAGGCATCCTTCTGATTGTACTTGTATTTGTTGATAATGAGATTTCCATTAAACGCCTCCCACTCCACCTTTCGTTCCCGAGTTTTCGCAACGATAAACGGCGACATCCTCCAGAACGGCGTTTCCAAAGTGCTCTAACTCGTAATCGTCACTTTTTTCTAGGATTCATCTCGAGCGTTCAACAAAGTGATAAATCGAGAATGCGAGCGGTCGAAAGTTTCTCGTCGTATCTTCTTGGAAGTTTACTGTAAAAATTTACAGCTATCCCCTCTTGGATCAACTTGTACGACTTCTCGGTATCGATTCGACTCCGTTGTTTATGTCGGTAACAATTTTGCGTCATTTCACCTCGAGAATCTTGGTGTCAAGAGAATCTTTTATAAATCGAAATTATTATTTTATAATACTTGATAAAATGTTAGATCAGGATGAACTTGGCTAGCGAAGAAAAAGTCTTCGTAGTGATAAAGTCTCTGTGAAAAATAGAAAATTTAATAACTTAGCATCATAGAAACTGATTTTTCTTGCACTTACATTATTGAAGTGTCAAGAAGCGCAGAGTATAAGATCCGTGAGACGTTTAACTTTTTAAACTAATAACTTCGTCGAGATAACAGGCGAAATCGGTTATGTAGTAGAGACCGAACGACATTTGTCTTGCTCGCATTGCTCGATGTATCGACGTTCGACCGCAAAACTTTTTTCGCGGTGAGTAGTTGGGAGTACATAATTCTCGCCAGATGAAGTGAAAAATCGTAGCTACGGTCAGAAACGTATTATGGTCTCTCGAGTACAGTTACGATTACTGATTCGCTCTTTCTGTCTGTTATACGGGGTATCTCAAAACTATCAGTACTTTGATTATGACTTTATTGTATTGCAGAGCTGATTTTTAGCGAAAATCTCACGAAATACAATTTTTTCAATTTTATGACATAAAATGCCGTGATAATTAAAATTTTATTGAGATAAAACCGGTTTAAATCTTAAACAATATGATTTTATTATTACTTTAATTTTGAAACTTTACTTCTCAATAATTATATTTTTTGTATAGAACTTACAATGATGATTAAACTAAATATTAAAATTTCGAATATTTTTCATCTTTTTTCTTAACTTGCATATGTGAGTGCGTATGTGTTGCCTCTTTGATATCTATTATTGAAATATATTCCGATAATTTTGGGATACTCTGTACGTACACTTCACACATAATCATGATTGGATATATTCTATTTACATGCACGTCTTGTCTTATTAAACTCGCCCGTTGTTGTGCGTTTAGACATGTCATTATTAATTATATATAATATAATAAGTATAATATTATATATTAATCTGAGTTTCTAGGCAGTTGTGTGTTTTATGTTATATATGTTAAGGTTTATATAGCTAAGATTTTTCTTTTCCTCTTTTCGCCATTGTCTTCCTCCTTCTGTCTTTTTCTCTGATTTTCCTTCGATTAAGTCATCTTAGAAAAAATTGTTTCTACACACATGCGTGATTGATTATCCTACTTGTTAGGTTTTACAAAATGAACACGTTGATCTATCGAAAGAATAATGGTCGAGCTGTTCGAGAAAACAACATTTACATCCATCTTTTTCAATTTGATTTTTTCATATCTCAAGTAATAGTGTAGTCATAAGACAAAATCTATATTTTAAAGCAAACAAACCTCGATGATTATAGAAACGATACGAGATAGGAATATATCGATGAAATTCATTTCGCGCGCAAATAATTGACATTATTCGGATACGATTTTCGCGTTCTTCTCGAAACGCTCGAAATTATTCCGGTCTTTGATAATACATCTTTTCTCTTGTCTCGCTCACAAGTGTTACTGATTCATACACACTCGAAATGGTTATCTATGATCTTGATTCAAGTCGATTTTTTGTATTTGTCTCGGCATCTACTCGCGTTTACGCGCGCGAGAAGGAAAGATCTCATAAATTATTTATAAAGAATAATTGTGACAGTCGCATTTGTTCATCTAAATGTGATAAGTTACAAGGATTTATATTACGGAAATGCTACGGAAAGAACAGTATGTATGTGTCTCCTCTCCCCCTGATGTCCTAATCGGTGGTATTGAGCAAAGTGCCGTAATTATGTACTCGTTAAACTTACTCCGTACGAATTAAAAATTATGCGTATCCTCCTATTGGTCGTTTATGCTACTTAACAGTAGTCTATCTGGCGATTACTTGCGTTATTACTGCTAAAATGTATGTAAAAGGGAGCTGCGTCTCGCTAATATCGATTAAAATTGTAAACTTTTTTTTAATAATTTTTAAAATTGTATTTGCTAGATCTCTCTTGGGATAAATGCATGCTGATAGCTTTATTTCGAAAAAAGGATTTTTTTTGCTGAATTGAGATTTAAATGCAGTCGCGGGGAAGAGTACAGCCAACGATATATTTTTAATTAATGACTAAGCTTTTTAAACTCTTCTAATGTTGCAAAAACATGTTTCTCGTCAAGAGTCTAGTTCTTTGACAGTTCGTGCGGACGAAAATTCCGTTGCTCGTAAAATAACGCCGCGAGTCATCGAAGGCATCAATCGTTTTGCACAATACACAAATGTGTATACGCGGGTATGCTTGTGCATTAAGAATATTCAGTAAAGTATTTACGTATGGAGAAGTTTCTCTCGTAGATGTACGGTCCACGATAGATTAAGCTATGTTTCTCGTCGTCTTTGCTACGAATCTATCCTTTGCTATCAATATTAACGCAATATTACAAAGTTGTAATTTGAAGATTTCGGCGCATCTAAACTACTAAATGCACACGCTTCTCTTCTTGCATTGTCTCGCAATTCGTTCGATTAAAGTGATATGATGATCGGTTGAGCTATACTTTTTTCTATAAATTTTTCGTACAATTATAGAAGCAGATTTATGGTTTGTAACAGAATACATGCGTGCAAAATATACTTGCGTTATTACTGCTAAAATGTATGTAAAAGGGAGCTGCGTCTCGCTAATATCGATTAAAATTGTAAACTTTTTTTTAATAATTTTTAAAATTGTATTTGCTAGATCTCTCTTGGGATAAATGCATGCTGATAGCTTTATTTCGAAAAAAGGATTTTTTTTGCTGAATTGAGATTTAAATGCAGTCGCGGGGAAGAGTACAGCCAACGATATATTTTTAATTAATGACTAAGCTTTTTAAACTCTTCTAATGTTGCAAAAACATGTTTCTCGTCAAGAGTCTAGTTCTTTGACAGTTCGTGCGGACGAAAATTCCGTTGCTCGTAAAATAACGCCGCGAGTCATCGAAGGCATCAATCGTTTTGCACAATACACAAATGTGTATACGCGGGTATGCTTGTGCATTAAGAATATTCAGTAAAGTATTTACGTATGGAGAAGTTTCTCTCGTAGATGTACGGTCCACGATAGATTAAGCTATGTTTCTCGTCGTCTTTGCTACGAATCTATCCTTTGCTATCAATATTAACGCAATATTACAAAGTTGTAATTTGAAGATTTCGGCGCATCTAAACTACTAAATGCACACGCTTCTCTTCTTGCATTGTCTCGCAATTCGTTCGATTAAAGTGATATGATGATCGGTTGAGCTATACTTTTTTCTATAAATTTTTCGTACAATTATAGAAGCAGATTTATGGTTTGTAACAGAATACATGCGTGCAAAATAAAAAAAAATTTAAGCACTTTCTTCTGTCTTTGTTAGACTTTGGAAATATTTTTGAAGTATCTTCTACAAACTATATTTTTTTCTATCTTTTATTATATATAAAAAGCATTTTCATATGTAGTTAAACCGACTATTATATCAGTTTAATGAATCATTGACCGTAACGTACCTATATCTTCGACTCGTAATAATCGTACATACGCGATTTTTTTCAACGATACATTTTCTCCCTTCAGCGACGCGTCCCGATTTGTTTAGGTGGAAGCACGAAATGTTTCACGAGGCCCGCGGAAAATATCACAGTCCTGAGGAAAGTCACGAAACTATTCGCGACGCATCCAGGAGTTGTTGGTCGTATATAGCTATTTTGAAAGTAGCATGAGTCCAAGTTTGACGCGTCCTAAATTCTGAAATACAAATTCATGCAATGTATTCGTAAGTTCTTCTGAAAATTCTTCCACGCCATTTTCAATATTAACAGTTTACGTAACATAACTTGCGAAGAATATAGGTCGCGTTACGCGTTGCATGAGATTTGTAAAACTGATTTTGTTCTCAAAGCACTTATGGCTGTAGGACGATTCAGAACGACGGTTCGTGCAATCGGTGCAGCAAGTGAACGGTGGAACTCGAGCAAAATGTAATGGCGTAACACCCAATCCATTATGCTTTGATAAACTTGTCTCCGTAAATATGTAAAAACATTTTGGTTGCAAATCATAATTGGCAATTCTTCAATCGTAATTATTCAGTTGTCAATTAAAAAAAAAGTGTTACTATATTTTTGAAACTGAAAATAATGTGTCATAGATGTAAATCAATATCTTCGTAAAGTTCAGTATAAGCGTGGCTCGGCAGTGTTTAATATCGGCAACAAATCATGTTATGTATATAAGCGTAACCATAATCAAATAGCATGAAATTATGATACGAGCTGCGTGTTGAACAGATTTCAGGAATAGTCAACATTCTTTGGCAAATTGATTCAGTTGAAAGTGTCAAATGATGCCTTTACAATAATATGTATTATCTGGATGTTTTTATCTTTGACATAGTAAAAGTTAGTTTAGTCAGTTAATTTTCGTGTGAAAGGTGAAAATATAGAAGCAATGCGGAATTAATACGAAACTGCGATTCATTGCATTGCAATCAATTATAGAAGCTTGTTATAAAACGAGTTTTGTATGATATTTTTTTTTAGTGACACGTGGAAGCTATTTTCGGAATTTTTAGTTTATCGCTAGAAACTTGGTATCTGTCTCATATTTTTAATTTTTTCCTTGGAAATTTCGTTATATTCGCACATTATAAGTGCACTTGTCTGACTCGACCGTTATATATTATATAGGGCATTTTAAAACTGTACTGGCAAATGCCATTGATAGCGAATTCATTGACAAACGTGGAGTCATTTCTCCTTAAAAACTAATATCAATAATTTCTCAATTATAAGCAATTGGATATATAAGTAATTTTTTGTATATTATATTCGAAGAGTACAAACAGGTATAACGAAACTTTTTTTATTCGCAGTATATTTAATTTTAAACCAACTTTATATAAGAAGAATTTTTATTTAATATTTATTTAATGTTGCAAATTAAAAAAGTTTAAGGAGTTTTTTATCTAATTATGTTTGATGTATGATGGTAATGTCGTTTATATTTGTTCTCAAATCAAATTATAAAAAAATCATATAACGGCTGCAATGATAATCTTGCTGCATTCAAATACGTACTTCGTTTTAACGTCAGGAATTTTATACGATTAATCACGTATAGTTGTCATGTACAATCTGTCCGTATCCTTGCATATTTAACGCTATATGGCTGTCTGATTCTGTATTTCATTAATCTAATATGTGGAAATATCGTGTGTTGCGTGTGCTGTAAACGCATGATATGAGAATCAGGCAGCCATAATTGATACTAAGTGTGCGCTGCAAATTTAGTCTTTATCTCTTTCAAGGAGAAATTTTTGAGGATTTTTCCGACCATCTTGCGATTCATAAAATAACTCGAATATAAACTGGCTATATGTCTTTGTGAATTTACTTTGTGCGCCAAAAAAATGTAGTTTATAAAGCGAAAGTTACGAAATCGTGATTCATGCTTTTATTTCCGTGTGTTTTCTGATTATTATTTGTTTCAAGTTAGAATATATAGTACGGCATATATAAAGCATGTGTGCTTTAATGCTCGTGATGCAAATTGCGAAATGATGAATACGTATCCGAATTATTAAGTTAAGTTTGAAGTCTGGACGGAAATGCCTGACAAATAATCGCGAAATCATGCTGAATAATTTATAAGCGTGCAAGAAATACGGAGTTAAAAAACAGTCATTAATCTTTCTTTAACATTAGTAGGTTACTATGCTTGTCCAATATTACAAAATTAAGTGACGTTTATAAGAGGCGGATAATTATTTTTCAAATGTGACCGCAATTTATGTTATCGCGAATGGCTTGATCTTGACATCTTCTTTCCGAATGATGTCGCAGGCGAACGAGAAGCTTGTCGTCTCAAAAATGATTTTTCCGAAGGATCCTCTCGACGCCATAATTTCGAAGAACCGATCGCGTTTTCGAGCTGAATCTTCGTCTCTCGTTAAGGCGCGATGGAGTCCCTGAAGTAGAAGTCGGCAGTTCTTTCGGTGTAGATTAGTTGGTCGTTTCCGTTGGAGATATCCATGGAACTCTTCTCATAGAATGATTTTTTGGCGATTCAGGGCACGCGTCCTTACAGGCTCCAGTAATGCCACGGTACTCGTAAGATCCTCGGCTATCGAGCAAAGTCGAGAAATCCCGGCACGAACGTCCTCAAAGAGGATCAGGACGCGCCATAGACGCAGGCCGAGTTGTCTGGTGGACTGATCTTCTCCACGGGTAATACCGCCGCTCTGTGCCACTCGTCACGAACCTGTTTTCCGGAAATGATAATGATTGCATACTGTAGCAAGATAAGGGAGCGATAAAGGACGGAATTGACCTACGGTCAATATTATTCGTATATTTTCGGACTTCTTTTCTAAGATTATGAGGGAAATAAGCTTTTTGGCAAAAATATTATCGGGTTGCTATAACGCTTGCCAATTTTTATCTGCAATAGCAGTTAAAGTAATGCTTACACATTATTTTACTATTATAATTTTTTATTGGTATCTTTTTCATTAATTCTTAATTTTTTTTTATTTTGGCTATATTTAATTTGTTTAAAAAAATCAATTCTTGTTGTTTTTATTTTTTCTATATAAATTTATCTTTTTTATTTTAAATATAAAAATAATTTCAACAAAATAATAAATTGCGATAATAAGAGTAGCATCAAGTCATAACGCGCTCAATTAGCTTGGCAGGAGTGCGTAACAAAGAGTGCTAAAACTTTAACAATTGTCCGATAAATTTAACACGCGCGCGATTAATCTCAAATAGTATCCCGAATTATGGACTGTGTCGCTGGAACTCATCGTCATACAGGATTACGTGTTTTGTTGGAGCAAGTAACTAAAACGCTTTTCATTTACAACTCTCGTAAACGGTGATCGTAAAAAATATAGCCTGTATCCGATTAAAAACGAGTCGTACCTGTTCAACTTTCGCAAATACTCTCAGTAAATTGAGACCGGCCAGTTTCTTGATATCGTCCTCCGTCCATGCTGGATCTTCCAGTAGAGTGGCCAATAGTTGCGGATATGTCGAGACATCCTCTAAGCCCGTGGGAGTGCTACAGAAGGGATAAAAATCTTGTGTGAGGTTTAAACGATTTATTTCGTTGATTCGAGTCGATATTCAGAGAACGAGATTAAGTTGATATCATTACTGCATTTGCCGCGTTATTTCAATTTTTGAAAGAACGCGATAATTGTTTAATAAACAATTTCATCATTTATTTATACATTTATTTTTAGTATTATAAGGCTAGTTTTTGATATTTTTAATTCTCTTTTAGTATTATTTATACAAATCTCTCACATTCATTGATTTAAGTTTAAATCATTTATATAAGCTATCGTGACTTTACATTACTTCTGTGAACAACCTTCTTATTATTATTATAACTAAGCATTGAGCTTGAATACAGAAATGTTGACTTTGTCAAATTAATTTAATGTGAAACGCATATTAATTCAATTATAATAAAGCATTTGCATAAAACTTATGATTCTATCTGATAATGAATTTTGACATTTTTAGAGTAATATGTAACAAAAATATAAATTAAATTTCTTTGTGTCTAATATAATAAAGCATTAAAAACCACATTAAATGTTGAAGTCAGTTTAATATTTAAAGGGTACCATGAGACAAAATAGCGGAAAGTTATATTAACAGCGATATATTTTGTAGTATACATTATGAGAATCATCATAAGTACTTTATGAAAGTTTCATGGCTATAGAACAAAAGCTGCTCCTTCGTCATTGTTTCATGCGTCCCCCGTAAAATTAACCTCCCGGGACTCATACCCTTTTCAAAACAAGCGAAGCAATTATTCTGAGTGTTGTAAAAGAGTGGAACTCTGTGGGTTAAATACATATTTACGCGAGACCGTAGATTTATTACGCGCGATTCGTATCTTTCAACAAGATTAATCATAAATATTATTGAATTGAATTATATGACAACGCGTCCCTGTCTCTGAATATCTCTGGCCCTTGTGTGTAGAAATATAGTGAAAGAATAATTACAAATTTATCCCGTCGAAACCTGCTCCGATACCGACGTGATCGATCCCCGCCACCTTTCGAATATGATTGATGTGTGCTGAAACAGTGCAGAACCTTAATCATTCCCCGTCACGGATGGCGCGTAAAGCATGCGCGTCACATAAAATATTTTATTATATTTTAATATAAATGCATATGCGCGCGTTTACCCGAGGGAATAAAATGTGACTGGGGAATAATGCGCGGTTATGAAGTAACGCGCTTATGAGATTGTCACGCATGCACGCGTAAAATAAAATCCCTTTTTATTATCGTGACAACGAATTTTTCAAATATTTGCGAGCATTAAAATGGGAGCAAATACATATCCCCTGTAAAAAGAAGATAGATAGTATTCTTATAAAATTGAGATTAATGCTCGTTTGAGGAATACATCGGACAAATTTTTTTCCTAAAAGTGACATTGAAAATTAGGTTTATAAAGAAATTTTTATGATATAAAATAAGACGAATATGATAATTACGTCTATCACATGCAATATCGATACTTCGCAAATAGCGTTTGTACATACCAATAACATCTTTTATAGTCGCGGTGTTGTTGCACGTTATGAAGTAGGTATAAAAAGGGACCATCGCCACTCCGCCGTTTTTAGCCTGCGAACAAATGCATTAATGCCAGATACGTTGTGATAGTATTTCTTTCAATTCTTAAATGATAATAGAGAATATATTGTAGAATATATTGTAGAGCATCGCGCGTATTTGTAGTAAAATTATGATACATTGTATTATAAATTATTTTACTACGATATACAAAACATATTTATGAGAAATGTCTCATAACTTATCGATTATTCGAAATTTTATTAAAGATAAAAATTTGTATGGACGATATATAACTGCATCAAATCGATGTTCCAGAAAATTAACAGTTTATGTGATGATTAGTGTGATGGTTATAATAAACATTATTGAAAGCAAGCAATATATAAAATAAATCGAAGAATTAAACTTTATTCGAGATAAAGTTATCTTTTTGTATCAGCTCGAGGGAAGTTATCAGGGAAACTATTTTAAGGAACACAGTACACAATTGTCTATTTGATACCTAACTTCGCTTAAACTACATGGGCAATGTTAATTAGGGTAGCAGGACGGCACGGTTAATAACACGTTACCGGGCAAGGCATCCGGCTTAGATCGTTGTTACTCATCCTCTCATTCTGCGGGTATAATTAAGGGAATATTGATCGTCCGTGGAAGAGGATGAAGTTCGTGCGGAGATGTTAGACTGACTTCTCAAGAAGCTGAGGAAAATGTCGGTTAATTAATTAGTTACTATCTTCTTTCTTGGAGGTGTCGAACAATCCTTTATTTGTATCATTTTAAGTTGAAGACATATTTCAAAAGGGTAAGTATTCATGAGAGGAGAGAGAGTAATAAGTTTTTAAAAAGTGATATTAATCCATAACAGTTTTGTCTAAATTATTTTTTTACGTCTCTAAAATTAAATATGATTTTCTAAAAATGATTATCAATAGCGGATTACTAAATGCAATAGATGCTTTTCTAAACACCTAACAAATGGAGTAGGAGTGGGAGGGTAAAATATCTAAATGGATTGTAATCGATTTCGTTGTTATGTTTACATAATTTTAAATTGTTTCTGAAGAAGATAATAAAAAAACTTTTATAAAAAAATATATCTTAATTAATTTTTCATACAATTATATTAGAATTTATTTTTCTTTTTCTCTCTTTAAATTAAATTTTGATTAAGATTATGTATCATTCTGATGATGTTGATGAATGATGATATGCTACTATATTACTACAGAATTGATTATAAAGTTTAAAATTTGCATTGTATATCCTTTGCGATAAAGTCAAAGTGTTGATCTAATCGGCAATAAGTTGAATTTAATTTCGCTAACTTAGAGCTCCTTGAGTTTAATCGTCAGTTCGTCAATCGTTAATCGACAGGCACGCGCCACGAGAATGAGATGAAATTTTAATGAAGCGTCGTTTAAGTCCTCGCTCAGCCAACTGTTACACGATTAATGAGACGTCAATTATTATACCGCGTTTATGCTTCCCGCGAATTTAATAGCCGAGGAAAAATTTCGATGTCGCGATCGAGGGAGAGAGATAAAGACAGAGACAGAGTGAACGAGATTAACGCCAATTGGATTAACGCCAATCGTTGGTAATGGGTGTGCGCAGAATTACCGATAATAACGTGGATTAAGCTTCAAACTTCTAACACACTCGTGCTATTTTGGCGCGTTGTTTCCGGGGTCACCGCCGCTCGAAATCATTTTGACATATCTCTTCCGAACCTGGTTTCATCGGTTACGAATAGTTCGCGATTATCTCATTACTCGAACAATTTGAACACCCGATACTTTGTATGTTAATATAGATCCTGTGTTCTTGTATCCTTTCACACATACACGTAAACACACGCACATACACACACATACGTATTGCTCCGCGGACGCTTTACAACTTTGTGGATTACAAACTATTCTCCTATCGCTTTCGATTCGCACACGGTTGGCTTCGCTTCGCTTGCACTCTACGAATTTAATTTTGACGTTACCCATCTCGCTTCCAGAGATATCAGATCTGTCGATAAAACTTGCGTTTAATCACCGGTACAGCGCGTATATCTTTCGTTTTGCTTTCACATCGTTTTTATTTCTCTTTACATACGTTTAAACGATTACGTATAAAAAAAAAAAAAAAAACGTTTGCCGGCAGTTATTTGTTTTTGCACATTTTGCACGTTTTATTTCTTATCATTTATATATTTGAATATTTATATCGTATTTTAACTATATCATATTTTACTGTATCTAACTTTTCATTATAACATTATTTTAATAGATGTCATTTTTTTTTTTAGTTATACAACTTTGTCAGATTTATATAATACATTGCAATTTAGCAACTTTATAAATAAATTCTTAATGAGGCTATTTCGTGTTATCATAAAATCGACAATTGCATCGTGAGTGTATCCTTTACGTGCAGCTGCTGATTTTGGATTTATTTTCTTTTGTTTATTAAATATTAATTTCGCGGTTCTACAGGCAAGTCTCGCGCATTAATATTAACTTCCGTTAAAATCGAGCTTCGATCTGGTTAGTCCGCGGTAAATATGCATATATGTCGGTTCAAAATCAAATAATCGCGATGAAATCAAATAATCAAACAAAAATTGCATCGCGGCAGCAAGTAACTTCTGTACGTACCGGTGTACACTCTTGAGAGCGCGCTTTGATTTTTTTCTATCTGTCGCTCGTTCCGCTTGTAGCAAAGGGATATTCATTTATTTTTTCTGTACACTTGTACTGTGTAGTGTTTTCTAACTGACCGACGCGCACAAGGCGCCGACTAAGATTCGAATAAATAAATAAATAAATAAATAAATCTGTCTGCATATACGTATTGTAGTCAACGTAGTTTATTCGCGACAACATATTTTGCTATCTGTGTTCAGAAAATGTGTAATATCAGCAACGGAGTGATCGAACTGATTCGTTTCCCTATTTTTTTTTTTTTGCGTGTTTGTATTTCCATATTCTTGTCTATGTGACGTGAAAAACTCACCAGATTTCTGAGCACATCGTCCGGCACGTTTCTGGTAGAATTGCATAGCGCCCTGGCAGCGCTGTGCGAGAAGATCACCGGCGCCCTCGTAGTCTGTAGGGCCGCTCTCATCGTTCTTGTCGAGACATGCGAGAGATCAACCAACATGCCCAGCCTGTTCAATTCTCTGACAACTGCCTGGAGAATAATGAAGCACGTTAAATCTCTTCCTTCTTTGATTTATATAAAGATAATCATATGTATATAGTCATATATTTAAAAAAAGATAGAATTAAAAAAGATAGAATAAAACTATGTGAATTGAAGGAAATTTATGTCAATATACATATATATTAAATCGCATGACTCTTTTTGCAAAAAATAAATTAAATTTAAATAAAAAGCAGTATAGATAGATAGGTATAAATGTAGGTGGAAAAGATATTATACACAGTTCTTTTAGATTTTTGCCTATATTTTTCATTTGTTGTCTTTCAAATATCGTTTTCTAAGCAACAAATCGATAGCAAAAATACTCAATAAGGAAAACCAAGTATCGAAACAATTCAAGTATTGTAAGTGTTACTAAACTCGAAGTGATTGAACTAAAATATCGGATGGCATGCTGGGTTTGAGACGAAGTGCCTTTATTATGGCGCAAAAGCACGTGGAAAGGATCGACCGGGAAGGGCGAAAGAAAAGTAGCACGGGAAACGATGGAAACGCCGGCGTTTCAGCCAGGGAACATTAGTCGAGAACGCAAGCAACCGCCCATTCCATCGTGCGATAGCGGGAAAAAGCTTCGATGTATTGGTGGTAATGCGCAGGATCGAGCTTCGTGTATTTGTGGCCTTTTGCTTTGATAAACACGTAAATTTTCACTTGCATCACTTATCTTAAGAGCGGAGTAAATTTAATTTTTTGAAACGTTGCGAGTTTTAACGAGATATAAATCGCGGTGCATTCATCTCGATCAATTATCCTCGAAACTTGATTTATTTCACTTTCATAATGAATAAATTATTAATTAACCCTGTGCAGGTTTATTGAAAATAGCCATGTGACAAACGAATATGAATCAATTAATAATTTCTCTTCTATTATTTTCTTTTCATTGTTAAAATTTAATTAGATTTAGTATAATAATTTCTGTTATTTTATGAGAGACAAAGAGTTACTATGTGAAAAACTGTTAAATATCTAATAATATTTGAAAGAATGATATAAAAAATATTTTACTATTTATAAATATTATTATCTAATATTTAATTATTTATTTTAAAGATTACGATGCGTTTGAATGTTCTACGTGTATTTTCTAGAGAAATAGCGGGCAAATTTTGATAAAGACAGCCCTGTCTACGCGAGCGGAAAAGGAAATGGAGGAAGGTGGGTGGAAGAACGAATCACAATGGTCCCGTTTTTCCGGCTTTAAGAGTGAGGGTGTAGCTGGCTTTTCTCGGCGCGCACGATTTCATCCGAACGATGCGAGTCTCGTGCGTCGATGGCAGAAACGACGCGCATTGTTTTTGCAGAGAAACAGCCACGGACGCGCGTCGTTTTATCGAGACTAATGATTACGCGATACAAGGGGGCTCTTTCTTATCAGCAGCATTAACAAGTGACAAGCCAAAAGATCATTCGTATGCAAAATGAAGCGAAAACATGCAAATAAAGTCGTCAATGGTGAAAATCAACGGATAAATAGCTGTGAAATTTTGTTATACTAAATTATTTTTATTAATATATAAAAATATATATCAACAGATTATTTGAGAAAAAATTTAAGCATATCATGTAACTAAAAAAACACCATTTAAATTTTACATGCTAATCTTTCCATCAATGTTTTAATTGTGAGATTTTTAATTAATAGTATCATGTAGTATTACATTTATCAGCATCGCATTCAATATCATGTACACATTCTTGCAAAATTCGAAAGAGAAATCATATTTCACAGTCGTCTGTATTCCGTATCGGGCGAATGGTGAATTTTCGCGTGTAATCCGATGCCTGTTGCTGGATATCGAGCGCGACGAGGCTAGACGAAACTAATCGTCACATCCAGAAGCCGCAATAAAATCAAGCCCACGTTGAAACCGTGACAAATACTACGCCGCGAGCTATCGCCATAATTCCACGATATATCACCGCGACGCGTTAACGGTGATTCGAAATGTGGATGTGCGTGCGTGCGTGACGGGCACGCTCGTGTTGTACACGCGCATATTCGCGCATATGGTGAACGGTGCCGGAAAATATGGGTCCCGTTCGATAGAAATAACAGGCCGAAGGAACAAGAGAGTAAAATGCAAAAATTTCGAATTGCGCGCGTTTGTGCACAAACGTACACGCGAACTCGCATCGTCGGAGTTGCATGTTGCATGCCGTCCATTGCCGGAAGTGTACATGCCGGTATTTACAACGGTAGGACATCACGGTATATATACACACGCGAGGGGATACGAAAACAATTTTCAGATTATTCCATCTATCTTTCCGAACAAGCCGTAGAGTCGCGATGTTCCTTTTTGAAATGGCATGCGAAATCTACTGTGCGAATACAAGTTTTTAATGTACTCGCACTTTGATATATCATAATTTAGAAAATTATATGTCAAAGTTAAAAATTTAGAAAATTATTATATCATAGTCGTTTACGATTCTGTTATACAAATTTGTTTGTTCTTTTTATTTATATTTTAAGATCTAGAAAGTATAATGCGCGAGAGTGGAAAGATCTTTCTTAGAATGATCAATCTTTGTTGAAGACTAAACTCTAACGCGCGTACAAAATAAGCTATTATACTTGATAAAAATATTTCGATATTATAGACGGGGGAAACAATATTATTTTCTTGTAGATTATCGCAATTTCGTGGTAAAACTATAAAAATATTTCGCCGGTACTATGCTACCCAGCAATAACATTTTTGTACCGCCGTTGTTTCGATATAGCCAACAGTATGCTGGGATAATCAAGACATGTCAGATTTTTTGTTCGCGCAACAAATAATACAAGACAAGATTGATACCGTATTTTACGAATGGAACATTCTTTTTGTAGAATAATTTATTGGTGACACGGCTGGGGACTCTATTCTTTTTAATAGTTAATTAACGAGCATATGCTGGAATATACAGGATGATATACAGGAGAATAGTTTTGACAACATTTAGACGTTAATTCTGTTTTCTGTCTTTGATTTGCAGCAAAAAATAAAAAAATTAATACACATTATATAAATAATGCACTAAAAAATAAGGTATACTAAATATAGAAAACAGCTTTATCACAGTTGAATATATAATATATAAAAATGAGAAATTAATGCTTAAAGAGATATAATATTTTGAAAGACATTATGGCGACAGCGAATTATTCCAAAGATTTAATTGTTGAAAAATTTCAGATGGTTGGAATATCTATTTAGCATTTTACGAGAACGAACATCAGTGACAAACTATGGAGCATTTAGCGACGCGCATCGAATTTTTCTCTGCAAAACTTGTCATTTATTAATGCGAGATTTAGCCGTTGCAAGGGGTGCGAGATAACGGAGGTGGACCGTTTGATTTACGTCCTCACGCGCTTCCCTCGTCCGTTTTCCTTTTCCTTCTTCCTCGTATCTGTTCCTCCCATTAAGCTTTTCGTTTTTCCCACTTTTTAAATCAGAAGCTGCTATTGCCGCGAGAATACGAATTTCAACAAAAAAATTTAATCGATACGAAATGATCCGATGCGGATAGGATTCGTATCTTTTTTTTTCGACATATCTTGGAATTCACGTAATGTCAGAAGGCGCGCGTGGCAGAAATCCGTCCTGACGTAATCGTCGAACTTGTGCGTTAACGCTCGAAATCCCTCGACGAATTCCACGCGTTAAAGTGGGTCGAGATATAATTTTATGAACGCGGCGGAGCGACGAGAGTGATAAACGGAATGTAGGTCGGACGCGATCGGTCGCGCGTTTGTTGACGATCATTTTCCCGGTTACGTAGTGGAAAAATAATTTGAGCAATCGGGATGGTGAAATCGCAATCTAAATCCTGCCACAAGAATTGAAAACATCACGATATAATATGCGCCGTAACATCTCGTTTATTTAAATATTCCAGAGCCAAAAGCCGTTTGAAAATTTTAACGTACAAACTCGAGATATAATAAACATTTTGGCGAGTATTTCTTAATCGATGTACTATATACAGTAGTAGCTAGAGTTTATATTTGAAATTTTGCAAACTCTTGATTTTGGAATACGAAATTAATTGGAGCATTTTGCGCGTGAACACATAAAAAAGAAATCGTTTTTTAAATAAAAGATCTTGAGCATTAATTTAATATAATAATAAAGTATATTATTACTAGTAAGAATTATTATTCAATATGCGACTATTATGGATCTAGTTTACAAATTTTGATCGACGGCTTATCTCTCTCTGGTATCCTGTGTGCTGATATTATTATTTCCCCGAGGAAACCTCGTATTTCGCAAAAAAGTTGTAAACTTATAATGCAAAATACTCGCATTATATATTATAAACTAAACTGTCGCGCGGTCGTTTCGCGGAATAATACCGAGGCGCGTCTTGGCCGGAAGTCTGCAGTATTATTTTTCTGCAGGATGTGTGGCGTAAAACCTCGTCCGCGGTCGTAAAACGGAAACTCTTTCGGAAGCGTGTATGTACACGTGGGTATTTTTTGCGAACACGATATTTCTCTTGTTCACCGAAAAAGATGAATCCGCAGACGGAGTTAGTACATAATGTAAATGTTGACTCACTTTCCCAAAGTCACTGAGACCCGGCGTGGAGTCCTGAGTGTTGTTCGTCTCGCCAACCGAACAGACTGCCCTGCCAAGAAAATATCTGTTAGAACATCGGTTTGCTTGCGAGAATCCAGCGGTCGCATTGCGTGTTCGCGCTTGCTTTCTTTTCCTTCAGATGAGCTTTAGACGAGCTTTTATGTATAGAACGAATAATATTTAGCTTTAGACGAGCTTTTATGTATAGAACGAATAATATTTTCTAAAGTATAAAGTCATCTTGTGTAAACATATTTAATATGCGGATATTTATTACATTAAATTTCTGATATGAAATAAAGAAATAGCACACAATGACGTAACAAATTATTGATCATGGAAGTATATCACTAATTAAAAAAATTCGATCGTCACAAGCGATATCCACACTCAAAAATATCGAGACTAAATTAGATTTTTATATTCTTAGTTCGTTAATGATTTAGATATGGCTTGAACTAGATACTCGAATAGGCACGAGTGGTCTTGGATCAAGTGATTTAGGTCAAACCTACGTAAACTCTGTTTTCGAAATTGCGCGTTTTGTTATCTTCTAGCATCATTAAACAAGCTTCTCTCGAAGCTTATTCGAATTGTATATAACTTTTCAGAAGTAACGCGTGCTTCTTTTTGCCTATTTATCATAATTAGTTTTTGTTGTTTGTTAAATTTAAATTAATTGCTAGTAAAGAGAGCAAGTTTCGAGATATCTTCAAAAATTGTATCTCCTAATTGCGAATGTATAATGATCAATAAACAAGATATAACATTTTAAAGTCATATTAATGATAGATTTTTTATTGTTGCTAAGTATAATAGATTCGAAATTTTATAAGAAATTGTTATTTATCTGTTATTTATGACAGTTCTTTTTAATTTTTCTCTATAAATATCTTAGCAATCATATTTTATAATAAATTTCTGTTCGAAAGTAACTATATTACTTGAAATTAATCAAGGTGTAATAACTCGTTATCTATTTATATTCTTGACACTTAATTGTCACTGTTAAACATCTGCGTTCGAACTCTAATCTTTGCAAAGTAAAATATGCGTTTTTATATATAAGTTCATCAAAGAAACTATTGAGATATTTTCCGATCATAGTTTGATATATTGTGCCTTAATCTTTTTCTTATAAAAAAGCGGGAGGCGTACGAAATATCGATAGAATAAAAGTATGAAGATTAAAAAACAAGTGATATAAAAGCGCAAACGATATTGAGAATTCTTCATTTGCTCCCACACGAGGTGGAAACGTCAGAGATGATTTGGCATTATCATCTAGAACTGCAGAAAATTCAATCGGGTCGACAATCTCGCATCCCTAGAGAGAAAATGGAGAGGGAGGGAGAGAGGGAGGGCACGCGACCGAAAAAGAAGAGGAATGATAAGAGATGAGAGAGAATAGGGTCAGAGACTGACATTAAGCCACGGGTACACGTCGGAAAGCAATTCGGATATTGTCCCAATAAAAGCGCGCTTTTCCTCATGTGGATGCCGGAAATCTCGGGCCGCAGAGATGAAACCGCATTTTTATGACGAGTTTTCTTCAGATGCTCTATATGTTATAGTTTACACTTTCATAGGCATGCACTTTTCTGGATGCCCCAAATCACTTTGTTGTTCGAGCAATTACTATCATATGTATTTTTGGTTTTCTTGTAATATAGAAATGCGTACTTAGATTTAATTTAATTAATTTTAAAACAAAATTATGATCTTTGAGAGTCTAACATAATATAATTTTAATATCTGAGACAAAGAGACAGGGAGAGATTGAGAAGAAATTCACTTTCTCAATTTTTAATGTTATTACGATTTTCAATTTTCCAATTTTTACTTGCTATAGAAAGCTTTATGACATATGTACATTACTACACATCTCTTTTATTCATATTATATTACTTGATTACACAATTTATTTGTGAATAATAAATAAAAAATATACTCGTATTTGATCTCTTCTCCCTTTATATCGAGAAAACTTGACCTCATGCCGAGAAAAGATTACCTCTCGTGTCGTATGTGTCGCAAGACAACATTGGCGTAAATTAGGGAGTCAGAAGAGAGAAATATGTATTGTACTATATCCGAAGAGAGATTTGCACGTGAGAACCCGACGTGACTCCGATTCTTATTTATTGCGGTAAGCATCCTAGTGTCGAGGGAGACATAAAGCAGGCGAAGATCGAAAAGTGCACGGCAAACCAGGTCGGTTCCCATTGTCGTATAATACTTTGATCTTAAAGCGGTGTTAGAGTTAGTGACATCGGCGGTCACTGTCGTAATTTACATCCCGAGAGCTAGCGAGCGAGGCATCTAGCGCCGCTCCTCGAGGTGTAAATCCTATTTCGTGTGGTAGGCCACAGAGGGTGAAGATTATTACGGTTCGAGCATGAGTCCCTTCCCTCGTAAAAGGTACAGTGAGCGATGGATTCTCAGTGATAAGTTTCGTAAAGAAAAAGCAACGCGAATGTGTTCCAAATTTTTAGTTATCTTCGTGTTATGAATACTATTATGTTGGAAGGAGAATGGGAAGCTTTGAGAAAATAGAAAACTCGAAATTGTTTTAAATGGTTGCGAATAAAATTACCTTTGACGAGGAAAATTTGTAAAGTGGCCACGACTTTATGTACTAATTTATTGAATACAAAGTCACATGGGAGTCGAATGTCACTGTTTTGCGCTTGTATTTATGGCTCGTGCAGCTCACAAATAACGTACGTTGGATTTTCCACAAAAACGCGACTCGTCGTGGGTCATGTGATTCAGAATCCAACGGATGCATAAAAGCGGGGACTTTATTTACAACTCCATGCGGCACTCGGCATCAGGGGATGCATAAACTTCTAGTTAAGAATCGATGTTTGAGGCAAAAGAGGAGAAGCGCTTTTATTCCAGTATTGTTCCTCTCATAGTCACGGAGATGCGAATGAGCATGTATAATAATAAACTGCGCTACTTACATATTTTTAAATCCTGATTATACCAAGGAGAATCGAATAACTTTTTTAGTATTTTCTATTGATATATCGCCACGAAAAGAAATATGGAGTTTTTCATCCTGTATTAAAATTGTAACAAATAAATGATGCCTTTAGAGAGCAATAATATGTAAAGTAAAATAAAAATCTGCTGTACAGATTCATTGCTTTTGTACATGAAGATTTAATATAAAAAAGATGCAAGTGCGAACGGGAAACATGGAAAAAAATCTTATATAATTATAAATATTTTACTTGGGAAAAATGTGCGAAAGAATATTCTCTTTTTTTATGTGTGCGAGCATCAATTTTTTAAATATGTTTGTAAATGATAATTATAATTGTTTAGAGATCATATATTAAATAAAAAATATTAAAGATTAATTCAACAAATGAATAATTAGAAATTAACAAATGATAGAATAGATCAAGTGAAGTCAGATAAAGCTCGGCAAAATTCGAAAACAAAGTCAGAGCAATGCAAAAAAATGCCTTTGCAATAATGGATTAAGAAAATGAAATTAAGGAAGTTGATTTCTAGACAATGTGGAGATCGGTCTTCTTGATAAGAATGTTATTGCTCTCACTTTCTCTCTGCGAAACGAATTTCTTCTTCCGCTATTTTTTTTTTTTTCGGGTGTGCTAGGAAATAAGTGGCGGCTTTGGAGTGCTTCCGAAATTACTAAAAAGAACTTTCGAGCGTCCAGATTTCAGGTTACTTCGGCTCTCGGTTAAGCCGATCAACCGTGGAATTGGTTTGCCTCTAAGAGTAGATCGTGATACGAAGCACAACGAGTCCCGAGTAAAAAAACTGGATACTCGATGAAACGAGCGACTTGTATATCGAGAAACTTCTTGAGCGCGAGGTAAGAGGCGATAAGAACGATGTCGAAAAAAACACAACATCCTGCAGAGTTTTGATGATCTCGTGAATGAGAAACTGCAATCTTCTAACTTTAATGAAACGTACATCAGCGCGAATAATATAATAGTATCGAAGATTATATTAAAATGCGTTTTATAATAAAAATCAAGATTTTAAAGGTAAATAATCCAGATAATTTTAAAAAAATTATATAAATTTTAAATTTGTATTAAGTTTGGCGGTTTAAATTGGGAGTAGTCTGTATTATATATATGATATATGTATGTATATGAGTATTTTATATGAGTATATTTTTTGTTTTAAGTATCATCTTTTTCTATATAAAAATGCTATAATCTATATCGTCAAATACGTGCAATGTAGAAAATGACATAAGAACGTATTAGCTTTTATTATTACTTTAGTTTCGCTCATAAAGGATGAAATTTTATTATAGTGAGGTAATTCTTTATTATCATAATGGATAATTCTTTATTAGTTTTTGGGCCATGTAATCGATTTGTTATAAGAGTCTATTATTTCTTGTTGAGATTTAAAAAATTGTGACAAGTTAATTACGTAGTTTTCAAAAAAGATTCTTATACACTCATGATTCATACTCACCAGGAGGTGTCGCACGCATGTGTCAGGGTAAGATATCGCGCTCCCAGACCGTAAAACGTCCTGAGAACGCCCAAGGAATTCCCCAGGGAGTGACCCCCTTCTACTCCGATTAGACTTGCGATTTTTCCTTCTCTATGCGCCTCAATGAGACCTATACACATATATGTCATGGTGTAAATAAAATCTATGTTGGTGACACTCTGATAATAAGCATGATATATAACTTTTTAAAGAAAAAAATTATTTGATGAATAATAGAAATTTTTTATCTCTATCATTTTTTTTTCTTAAGATGATAAACTATAGTAATTGTATAACAATATTTTACGAATCAATAATATTAATGTAAAGCATCATATCTTATGTTAAGCATAATTTAAATTGCATTTATAAATACAATTGCACTGAGAGACTTTAATTTTATTAATAATATTTTATTACTCTTTATTTTATCCGTATATATAATAATATTAATATTATTATTATTTTAATAACTTATCAAGCGTCGTATTTTTACAATATGTTCTGGAGTGTATTATTGTTTGTTTATTTTACATAGCTACGGTTGTATAGAAAGTGGGTCATATGTTTTAGCGATTAAACGTTCTAAATACGCTAAAAATTGCGATACTATTGACAATGAATTTGCCGAGCAGAGAATACTCGAACCTCGGAGAACACCTAAGTACACGAGTTATTTGAGGCTCATCCTCTCTCGTAAAACTTCGAATCATCTTCGGTGAACTTCGCTCTCGGCCAAATTACGCTTCTTCCGTGAATCAGCGAAGTTTCGTCTGTTGTTTCGTCGTGCCCCGTCGGCGCGAGTTTTATAATTCTTCCTTTTTTCATTCGGGTGAGATTAAAATGACACTTTATGAGATTAAGCGGGACCTCTCGGGTTCGGGGAATTATGGTGTTCATAGATTATTTACGATCTTCGTCGAGAGATCGGATGAAATCTCGGAAAGTCGATCCCTCTCCCGGCCGTTTTGAAAAAGTGAATAAAAAGATCGGTAAAAATCGGCTTTAAGATCCGCTTTCGAAAGTACTTTCAGGAGTGCTGTCGATCGCCTCATTGAAACTTTCAGGCGGCATCGAAACGACGATGGGTATTAAGCCGACTGATTTATCGTATTTTACATCAAATATATCGATCTGTGCGAGTTATTTATTTAACCGTACATCCTGGATTTAAAGTTTGCTTTGTGCTGCGGTATTAACGATATATATATGTATATCTATAATCCCAGAGATTAATGATGGATTCGTCAGACACGTAAACTTCTTCATCATCCTGTTGCTTTTCATTCACTCGCTCAATAAAACTTTTCACGCTGTACTTCTTATTACCAAACCCATACCATTCACGATGTCTTGTTTATCTCTTTGCACAACTGTCGGTAGATTGTTATTGATGTGTTAATTAATAAAATTGAATTTGCAGACCGCACGAGAGAGTGGGATAAATTTTTAAAACAATTTCAAGAATATGGAATATACATCTCTGTCTTTCTCTTTTTTTTTCTCTTTCTCTTTCTCTTTCTTTCTTGCAAGATTGATCCAGTTTTGATAAGTTTGCTTGACTTAATCTTTTATTTTAGTCGCAATATGTTGTAAAACGTTTTATAACATTAAGTAGAATTCAATTTTTTATTTGGATCGTTGAAAAAAGAAGTCGATTAATATGACTTAATTAAAACAGAATTTCTTTATTAATGTAACAGAATGTTCACAACATAAAAACTGTGAATGTAATTTGTGAATATTGAATAATTCTGCAAAAAAAGTGCAGAACAATTAATATTAATTTAAAGTTTTTACATGCGTTTATTTTTTATTTAACCTTTTATCATAGTAGAGTACACTTAATCACTTTATATAGCATTTAATATGATTTAATATCTTTTATCTCGATACAAGAAAGCCATATACTATATATTGAGAAACGCGCCACTAATCTCGAAAATTAAAAAGCTGGTAATCTCCTCTTGTAACTGTTCTCTGCCTTTGCTGCTTTTAAAGAAGCTCGCGCGGAAACAGCTTGTTTCTACTCAAAAATAAAACGAATCTAAATGAATATATCTAGTGCTTTAACGAGATTCCCGTTTCCATTATTAATTACTATATTTCCAATCGAGTCTTCAGCGGTGTATAATATAACATCTAGGAGCCGGTTTGCCTATAACAATTATATTCTACATTACATGTTCAAAAGTTGTGCTAAAATGTTAAAATATAATTTAAAAAAAATTTATATCATTATTATAAGTTATTATTACAAGTATCATTTATTTTTTATTATCGACACATTTTTTAATCCGATTACTAATTATATTAACTTAATAATTTTGTTAATGTATTTTTTTCTCTATGAAGTAAAAGTAATCGGACAGTTTGCCGTATAATATATTGTTAATTATTAATTTAAAAAATTCTAAATTTGTAGCGTTTTTTGTATTGAATTTCTAAATTCTGTATAGTGAGTTGACGACATTGCGGTTTTGACCACATCTAGCCATTTGTGGAACAGGTTTGTGTGCACGAGTCACTGACTTTTTCACCTTTTGCCTTCTTCATGCCGTGACCTCCTTTTCACTTCTCACTTGGCGAAGTTTCTTCAAGCTTATGAAAATGGCTGACAGCTTTCCAGACCGGGTTATTCGCGGTAAGTTCCATTGCAAGGTTTTCGTTCGCAAGGCAGTGCTCCAGTCCCATTTCTTCGCTTGCCCTTCATATCTCTTTCATATTTCAGCGGCGTGCAACTTGATTTCGAATACACAATGCATGTCCAACTGATTATCCATTTACATAAGTGTAACCGTCGCAAAAGGGCCAGATATTTCTTCGTCAAAAAGTCAAAGACCATCAGTCATAAAAAAATCTATGTCGTATAGTAGACTGGATATACATTGTGTAATTGAAATCAAATTACGCACATTAGTAATTGTGCATTAAAATAATTTAATAATTTTATTAAAACAATTTTGTTAATAAAAAATCAACTAACAATTCTTCTCAAAAGATTGCATTCTTTTAGTATGATGTGCAGTTTGAATCTAATCTTAATTTTTCTAGGTGGATTATTTATGCAACGTTTGCAAAAGTTTCCGTTATATTCTTATCTCTTTTTCACGCGACCTCGGTTTGATTTCAACAAGCTTATGAAAATGGCAGTTCGGATTTCCGAAGCGAGTTACTTGTCGCGAAAACTTTCACAAGCTTTCGCGTATCTTTTCTGCTATCCTCTCCTGTTTGGCATTTTCTTTTCTTTCAGATTGTGTGCACAGTTTGTTCTTTATTTTTGTGCTGATGTTATCTCGGTATTTTTTTTCCAGAAATATCTTTCTCTTTCTCTCACAAAAAAGCTATTGCATATTCAATGAAATTTATTCTCCATTAGTTGGTTCCATCAACATTCCGCAAATTTTCGTTAACAGACGATAGATTGACCCATCAATTTAAAAAAAATTTTTGTAATCAATTTTCGTTAAAAATAGAGAAGTTCAATAGTCATCGGCGTGAACGCATGTGTTCGTAAAAAAAAAAAAATATTTGCATGCAATGTTTTATGCAGTCTTTTTATCTTTTTTTCTATATTGAAATAAAATTTTAATATAGTGGTTTACATATATAACAAAATTTCTAGAAATTTGAAACAATAGCGTTAAAAAAATATTTTTAAAACTTTTTATAAAGTTTGAATATATATATGAAGTGTAGCGTTTTATGTGTCTCGCGTTGTATGTATGTAGTATGATAAAAATTGATTACATTAAAATTTTAATAAGATATAAGTCAAAGATAGGATTTTGTGTGGATTGAATCTTTTTTAGAAGTGTAAGATTCTTAATATCTTTATTACAACCTATAATATATTTCAATATTATAGAGTCAGATCTCATATTATCTCATGAATCAGTAAGAATCTTCATTGCCATGGAGCAGCGATGGCTTCATACTTTTGTCCACTGACGATAAATCTTCCACAATACAAAGTTATGCCATCGAATCGAATCCAATAACGACTTTCCTCTTCAACTTCAGAGAAGTCGAGCAATTAATAGCGACCCTTTATCCTCTTGAATCGTCTCGATGAGAAACTTTCTCTAAGACGTCGCTCTCATATCTATTGGTACTGGCGGCTAGCGTGTTACATTTAATAACGTAATACGACGGTCACAAGAATTCTTTCGGTTACAAAAGATGCATCTCAAGTTAACCGAATTGCCGAAGGACAATAGAAATTCCTGATAATATTTATATACCAAATTCATTGTATGCGCTTTGCTATTGGTGAAGCATCTGTTCAAGCTCGTAAACAATTCTATTTTTTACTTGTATGTTATAGATGTTAGTTGTTGTATCGTATTATTCGTGTAATACACATGCGATAATTATTATTTATTTATAAAATTAATTTTATTACTATATACGAGTTATGGCATTAAATATATTTTATATCGAAATAAAAAGAGAGAGAGGATATTTTTACGCTCGTAGAGAAATAGAAAATGAATGCATATATATTTTACAATAAAAAATAAATGCATAGGTGTCAGGCCGTTTAGAATAAATTTTTTACAGTCTCCATCATACTGATATTAGAAAAAAGAAAAAAACGCGTTAACGTATTTACGTAAAAAAGATTATGACGTAAATATACCGTGTAATATGCGGTGGGAAGATTACGAGAACATTGAATGCGGATCAATGTTAATGTATGTTACTCACCTTTGACAGAGGTAACCAGGGTTAAGTGTTGAGCATTCATTTCGGCGAGTCGACGAATCACGTCGATCTGTTCCAGCGAGAGTTGGACTGCGTTTAACTGAGCTGCACCGCAAGGAACGTAGGCGGACCAAAACTGAAAACAAACGTATCGTATCATATCGTATTATTAGATTGTTCTGAAATAGTCAGTCGTTATTTTAAAAAATTTGAAAGGATACAAATCGAACTCTCTTCTCTCATATACGAGAAATAGAAAAACACAAATAAATATAATCGCATGACGATGTGGATGGGGTGGTACGTCGGGATACTGTGACGGACAAAAGGGGAAGAACATATGTGAGGAGAAACATAAGGTCAGAGAAAAAGAAAAAAAGAGATAGGCAGGAAGAAAAGTAGGAAAGGTACGAGATGGATGGTGGTGGAAATTCTATGCAACTGAAATGAATTCTCTTTCGATGGAAACATTATTTTAGTTTGATAATGTTTAATAATGCGAATAAAGGCACATTTATATCATACATTCGTTCCAATCGCGCGATTATAGATATATAACATGTATGAATACTACATTATATTCCTCTGAATAAATTGGGAAATTATGGCAACTATCACAAATATTCTCGCGCGACATTCTCGTATAATCCACGAACCTAAATGTATACGATTTATTGCTCTCGGTGGTAACGAGCTATGCGAATTCAAATAATCCACAGTATTTTGCGCGGTAATTTACACGAGTGCGGATGTGCGTGACGCGCGTGTAGACATCTTTCCGGTACATCGCGCGGCAGAGAGAGAAAGAGATAGAGATGCGCGCGATAGAGGGTTATTCGTCACGGCGAAATAGACGCGCGGGGATGCTAATAATCTGATGCCGTTAACTGATGGAGTTAGCATCGCGAGCAGAGCGAGCAGAGAGCGGATCTGACGTTTCCCATCTTCCTGGCCGCCGCCCCCCCCCCCCCCCCCCCCCGCTGCGGCAGTTTGCGCGAACGATCGTATGGCGGAATCGCAGTTAATAATGATATCAAGGGGAGGGGAAAGGGGGTACGGCAGATAAAGCCGTCCGACCGGAAAGCTACGTGCCTTCTTGCAGAAGGAAAGCAGATAACACCGACGAGGCACGAGTTCAAAACATGCGACGGCTGCCAACGGAATATCCGCTCGATAGCGGCGCGACGTTTCGAGAAATCCGGGGCGGAAACGTATTTATCGAAGAAAACGTATCTTGAGAGCGTCAGCATAAACTGGATAAACAACGACGCGGATTAAATACAAGCCGCTTCGTCGTCGCTTCGCGGAATAATGTCAAATATTGCAGACATAATTGCGCTAATAAACGCCAAGATGCTTGAATTTATGGGAAGCTGAGAGAAGCGCAAAGAGTGCATGTGCATCCTCGGCTATCTGTGACGTTATCTCATTGTCGACACGTCTACGTGTAAGGAGTGAATTTAATGTGAAATATATATTATATTCTATTCGCGAGAACATACAATCGTGTTTTATTCGAAATATAAGTGAAATATTTACATTTTCTTTCGTAGATTTTTTCTTTAACTTTTAAATTTTACGGTTTTTAAATGTTAAATAATATCTGGAATTATATTTTATATTTTTCTAGTTGAAATTTACCGAACTCGATGAATGTATATTATCTGTTCTCTTCATATATGGAGAATTACAATATATTCTCTTTGCTAAGGCAAAGTAGCGCAATGGAGAAGAGCTCTCGAAAACAAAGCTTTGATGCGTTTTGCGCGCAAGTGCGTCCATAGTAAGAGTTCTCTTGTTTCGTATTCCCTCGAAACGGCTTTTTCCCGACAAGAAAATCACTTTCTTACAGCCTGTGCCAACGGGTATTTTCAGGAGGAAAATCGTAGGAAGACAGGTGGTAAGGGTATAGTTCAGAGTAAATACAACGGTGAGACGGGATTGTTGGTCCAGCGTGGCCGACTTCGCGGATGAAGCTTTCGAGCTCGCTGATTATCTTTTATCGCGGCTCTCTTGCTGCAAACTTCGGCAATCATTTCGCGGTCACGGTACTTTCTCCGCGTTGTCGCCGGGAGTTAAGGAATAGAGGGAGGATGGTAAAGATCGAGCGAAGGAGTAAGCAGGTCAGGAACTCGCTTTCCGTCTCTATATATGCGTCCCAACGAACTGAAAAGTCACAAAATTTCGTCGCGCATCCGCTACAACGAAATTTGTTCGTAAACAGAATTGTCATTGTTAAGGATATCGACCTACCTACGTAGAGTACTTGCGTTCGCGTAGCGAAGTTTGAGTGGCTTGACTCGAAAAACAAAAACCGAGTTTATTGTCGCTTCGATTTACGAATGCACCTCGATACAGTTGTCCCGTAAATTACAGAGCGTTTCCTTCTTTTGTTATATCGCTTTTATAGCCATACTTTTTCCACGATAGTTCGAGCGGCGGAAGAACGAACAAAATGGGTATACGTTTTTTCAACGCGATCTTCATGTGTATTTTTGTAGAACTAAACGGAGTAAATTTCTTTAAGCGGTCACAAATGTTTATTTAGGAATAAAATATACTCTTTCTGTTGCAATTTTGCGATGAATATTATACTGCATATTAATAACTTCACATATAATATATATCGATACAGATTCTATTCGCGATAACGCAACTGATTTCAAATTCTAATTAAAGTGATATTTTTATTACCACAAGTTGAAAGAACATATCGCAAAAATAATAATAATATAATAGCGCTATGTCGTTATATTCAATTTTTTATTTATTATATTTTATTCCGCTGCACTATTATTTTTATGTTATTTCTGTTTAATCGTAGAATGTTAAACAATTTATCGATTATTTTATTACAGTTTTAAATATGTAACGCGTTTTCATTCACCGCGCGTAGTCATACATACTATATTGTAAATAAAATTTATATTAATATCTAATGATGAATGCTATATATATTATGCTCCGTTCCTTTTCCGTCCATTTAATTTTCTGGCATTATCGGTGAAATCACTGACGATAAATATTCTTGAGTCAAAAAATAATTAATTAATCTTTATTAATGTATTAATGCGAGAGAACATTTAGCAGTTTAGCGAAATATGTTGAATTCAAAATACCTTGTTGATTCATGAATTGAAACTAATCCGTAATTGTTAATACCTCATATATTATTAATAATAATATTATATGTTATAAGCCGCATATTACATGCATGTTTGTATCAATCACAACACGGTCTATATTTATTTATTATTCATATTAATATTTATTAGAAATCATGCTGTGTGATTACTCAAAGATTAATTCTGAATTCATAATTACGTTATATCATATGTATATATAAACATCTTTCTCTTCTATTATTTATACGTTTACATTATTTTATTGCAAAATTAATATTTATAATATATCATTAATATATTATTGTGGTTATTTTCTTAAAACAAACATCCCAGAAAAATTGTATAATGGAAAAAGGAGCCAAAATATTTTTTGTGATACATACACGATTCTTATCATATATATTTTCTTTACATTCTTTGTGTTATAAACTCATCTTGTTTCCATTATCCCAGTTTCTTTCTTGTCCAGTTTTGAAACAAAAATTACTAATTTGTCACGCAGTATGCAGCAACCTCTGTCCTTCGTAAAAAAAAGTAGATCAATCATGTCTCATCAAAACGCAGTTAGTAAAATTTCCGTCGCTGGCGAAAACTTTTGTGCCAACTACTTCGCGATTCCCGGACGCTTTTCTTGCGCCCCCTTCTAGTTCGCGGCGCTTTTTCATAGCGTTTTCTTCGGCTTGCCACAGAAAACGTGCGAAAACCATTTTGCCACCAAACTCGGCTCGCCATTCTCTCGGCGTGCTTTTATCTATGCATAAGTACCCGCCTTGAGCCTTGAACTTTGCCGACGCGGATGCGGATTTTCGCCGCGCGGTTAATGCACCTTCGATTCGTTCCCGACTTGTTTCGTTGTAAGAGCGAAATGGGAGTGAACATCCGTGCGATGTGATAAATTGATTTTATAAAGTAAAATGGTTTGAGCTGTCTTCTCGAAAAAATTTAATGCGCGGTTCTTTGAGAATATAATGTAGAAATTATCGTGATAAAAATTGTTACGTGAAATAAAATATTGTGCAAAAATATTATAACACAATAATAGAAATACTTAAGAGTTTTATTATCTTAATAATCGCTTTCAAAAAGCAAAACTCTAAAAACAAGTATCTATTTTGCCACCAAACTCGGCTCGCCATTCTCTCGGCGTGCTTTTATCTATGCATAAGTACCCGCCTTGAGCCTTGAACTTTGCCGACGCGGATGCGGATTTTCGCCGCGCGGTTAATGCACCTTCGATTCGTTCCCGACTTGTTTCGTTGTAAGAGCGAAATGGGAGCGAACATCCGTGCGATGTGATAAATTGATTTTATAAAGTAAAATGGTTTGAGCTGTCTTCTCGAAAAAATTTAATGCGCGGTTCTTTGAGAATATAATGTAGAAATTATCGTGATAAAAATTGTTACGTGAAATAAAATATTGTGCAAAAATATTATAACAATAATAGAAATACTTAAGTGTTTTATTATCTTAATAATCGCTTTCAAAAAGCAAAACTCTAAAAACAAGTATCTATCAGAAATCAATCTTATGTTAGAAAGTACAACTTTCAACTTCGTGAGTTTTATTATCGATGGTTGCACTTACATAGTGGCCATCAAGATTATGGGTTTTATTATTGAAAGTTACTCTTACAGGATGGTAAAATCCTCAAGCGAATATCCATCGAAAATCAGTCTCAGGAAATAAAACTGTCAAGTGAGCTTTATTGATAGCCGCTCTTGTAAAGCAAAACTCTCTCTCACTCTCTCTCTTATATGAACAATCATCGAGAGTCTCACTTAAAATCTACATCTACCGCATATTTTTACCACAAGAAATCGCTTTTAAGTGGACATGTGCTTATATCAGTAATATTGATTTACAATGGAGAAAATATGAGTTTTTCCGTAGTTACAGTCTCTCCACACTTTTATCGAGTTTCGAGAAAGAGGCGGAGGCGGAGGAGAGACGATTCCGCATTCAGTTTTCGAGCTTTCTCTTTCCCTCTCCATTTTCTGAGCAGGCTTTTATCTGCGGGTGAGCACTCAGGGGCAACGAAGTTC